GGTTTTAAAATTTCAATTTTTAAGAAACAAAATAAACTGATTAAGCCTAAGGAATGAACAGATGAGAGAGATACAGGTCGAAGGATACAAGTGCCCCAAGGCATTGGTATGACAAACAGACAGTTCCATCTTAGGAATATACAACTGTGAAAAGACAAAGCATCTCAGAGGTGACCCTCATTCACTCATTCAATAAGCATTTCCTGTACCAGGTACTGGGCTGGCTGCTAGATCTGTAAAGAAGAATGAAGTGGCCACAACCTCATACAGTACTGACAACCCTGGCTACACACCAGAATCACTTGGGATTCAGTTTTTAAAATATACAGTGATAAAATATGGATGCTTAGGTCCACACTCCAGGGATTCTAATGTAATTGGTCAGGGTTACGACTTGGTTGCAGGACTTTTAATAGTTCCCCTGATTCTAATGAGCAGGGTGGAGAATCCCTAGGAGCACGTGACACATGAACTGAGTGTTGAAGGAAGGGTAGGAGCCAGCCAGGAGAGGAAGAGAGAAGGGGAGGGTATTATGTAGCCAGAGCTGCATTTAGACTGTCCTGTTGCTCAATGTAAACAGAAGGTTATGGTGAGTGGGAATGATGCAAATGATGGACATTACCCCATGAGTAACTGAATGTCCATCTTCCAGGTAGTAGGAAGTTGATAAAGGTTATTAGACAGGGGCAGACATGATCACACCTGGGTTCATTCCAACTCTCCATGCATTCTCTTACCCTCTCTGATGGCCATCATTTCTACCTACTCACGGGGCTATAGAAGGACTATGGAGAGACGATGAGGATTTTGCCTCTAGAAAATGGTACCATCACAAGAGAGAGGGCATATTTCTGGACTCTCCATCAGAAGACACCTTCAACACAGCATTCATCTCGAGTTAGACTCCTATTTTCACTGCCTTTTCAAAAATTCCTTTTTGTTTTGTAGAGGGAAACAAAAGTTTATTTTATTCACAGGCCTGAGAAACAGGAAGTGTGATGCACTTCTGGGGGGCACAAGAGATGCCTCAGGGTGGTCAGAGGGCAGAAAGTAGGAATGTAGGGGAACAAAAACCCCTTTTTGGTTACTTAAATTCATTACGTGATCTTGCTGCAACACTGAGAATAAATGCCCCAAAGAGCTAGTCATGGCTTATTTGGAGACTGATATGAAATTTGGAGTTGAAGTAGTCTACCTATTGCATCACAAGAAAGTAGTGGGACTGTCACTGAAGACCCTGGATGGAACACCATTCCACATGTAGCTCCAAAACAAATCACTAAATAATTCAAATGACCTGATCACCATTTCTGAGCATCTGTTTGAAGAATAAGCAAATTACAGAGGAATTTCTAGAAATAAAAATGGTTTCAGTTAATAGGTTGGGGCAAATGGTGAGAGCTAGTCCATCCTTCATGCACTGGTAATGTGTCTTTTAACTTAATAATAATAATAATAATAATAAACTAACAGCCATAAGCACTTCCTGAATATCTGCACATACAACATGTGGGACTAGGACTTTACACACATCATTGACCACAGTCATGCAAGGTCTGCAATTAGGTTGAGAGGCTCAGAGCAGTTTTGTCATCTGCTCAAGGTCACAGGTCAGTGCAGTGATAGAATTCAAATTAAGTCTTCACGGCCTCCCTCCACCTCTTCTCCAGGTCCCTGAGATCCTGGCCAAGGGGTGAATCTGTGCTCTTTTGTGCTTCAGAAAGGATGGCTGCTTGACAAGCTCATCAACTGCTGTAGGGTAATCTTTCCTGCTGTGTGTCTAAGGAAAGCACCGAAAAGTATCATGATTCTTTCCAAGGAAAAAAATGCCAGCTCCCTCTTTGACCTGAATAGCATGGAAACAATGCAGTCTCATCCAGTGAGCTGCTCTGTCAGGAAGAGGAAGTCCCTCTGGAGACACCATGTACCCAAGCAGCATAGCACCCGGTGTAAACAATAAATACCCAACAGCCACAAGCCTCCTTTGGCTTAAGATTTCAGGAGGCTCGAACTGGGTGATGCCTTAGAGGCTGCTTGGCACAACCCCTGCTTTTCAAAGATGAGAAAACAGACTGGTTAACAGATCTACTAAAGCAGGCAAGGGCTTCCCAGGTGGCTCAGTGGTAAAGAATCTCCCCATCAATGCAGGAGACGCAGAAGACACGGGTTCAATCCCTGGGTGGGGAAGATCGCCTGGAGTAGGAAATGGCACCCCACTCCAGTATTCTTGCCTGGAGAATCACATGGACAGAGGAGTCTGGCGGGCTGCAGTCCATGGGATTGCAAGAGTCGGACACCACTGAGCACAAGCCTGTACTAGGAAAAGCACAGCAGCCAGAAACTTGGTCTCACACTCTGATTCTGTGTTTTATATTATTTTATGTTCTCAATCATCTTGCATCCCAGAGCCCAGGAGGGAACCCCGGGATTCCTATAACACTCTCACCTCCTCATAAAAAACTGGGCTTTCCCCACAGAGGAGCTGAAGGGGAAAAAATGCTGCTTTCTGAGTTTCTACTGCTAATTTGAAGGGCTCCCCTACTGATTAGCACCTCAGTTGGGTGTCCGGTCTGTTAGTCCCAAAGGGACAGATGAAAACAAATGAGGACCAATCACCTGGGCCCTTCAGGTACATAAATCATTCTGCAAATGCAAACCTTTAGGTGTTTATACAGGTGGTTTCTCAAAGCAAGGACTGGTCATTCTGCCATGGCTGACACTTATCTATAATTTAAGAGAACCAAGCAGCTTCTGTCACACGGTGAAGCACCAATGCTGGTGTCATTAAAATAATTAAACACATGTGGAGCAGATCACCAAGAATCTGCCCTCTTCAGAAACTGCTTTATGAAAAGCTATGGTTTAGATATCATTTCCGTTTCATAAAAAGGCTCACCACAGTGCACCTTCAGAAGCTAGTTTTGTTCATGCATTTAATTTGTGATTCCATTTCCAGAGATGTGACTGCCTCACAACTTGTCAGAAACAGATTTTTTGAATTAAACAAGGTCCTCTCCCCTGCCTCAGAATGCCTCCCTTGATCCAGACCTATTTTGGGTGCCTGGCTCCTAGAAATGGATGAAAGTCCTTGCTGCGGTGGAATTTAATTCACTTTAGCCAGCGTGGGTCTTGCCGAGGACACACAGACCAGGAGGAAAGGATGATCAGACACATGGTACCCAAGACTCAGAGCCTCACTGTGGATAAACATTTTTAAACAGCTGTCATTTCACGGAAGGAAGGCGAGATGTTCAAGCTGGTGATAAAAGAACAGCAGGGACAGACTTGACAGCCCAGATTGTTCGCGGCTTAAGGAAACAGAGACTGAGAAAGAAAAAGAAAAACAAAACCGTCAACCACTAAGCTACTAAATGAGACTGGGTGGCAGGAATGCCTGGAGCTATCCCGACAACTCAAATGTCCTTCTCTTCACAGGAGGAAGTCTGTTTCTGACAAGTGTGTCCTGGCTCACCCACCACAAATCTACACTTAGAATGACAGGCAGAAGAGGATGAAATGCTCTATTCCCAGACACCTGGAGGAAAAACAGAAGTCAAGGACGATCGCAGCTCCCAGGTCTTGAAATGTAATTACCAGAACGTTTTTGGCCCTGGACTTCATTAAATTCAGGTTAGGGAGTAGCCACACGATGTCCTTCCTGTGGCATTTACCAGCTAGCTGCATCCTTCCAGGCAGAATGAGACGGCCTGCTTGCAGGGGCCCGCAGATCAAGAAGTTTGCTGTGGCGCGCTCCTGGGAGCATCACCAAAGACCTGGACACACACACACACACACACCAGACTCTCACACACACACACACACACACACCAGACTCTCTCTCTCTCTCTCACACACACACACACACACACACACCAGACTCTCTCACACACACACACACACACACACCAGACTCACACACACACACACACACACACACACCAGACTCACACACACACACACACACACACCAGACTCTCTCTCACACACACACACACACACCAGACTCACACACACACACACACACACACACACCAGACTCTCTCTCTCACACACACACACACACCAGACTCTCACACACACACACACACACACACACACACACACACACACACCAGACTCTCCCCGCCCCAGGCCCCTCCAAAGCATACGCTCCAGGAAGAAGCCAGTTCCCTGCAGCAGGGCAAGAGTCCCTCGGCCAGCCCCTTCTCTCCGCCCCTCGGTCTTGGATCCAGGTGCCCACCAAATTCGCTATTCCCAGGCTGGGTTCCGACAAGAAAAGGCAAAAGGGGTAGACTTACCGAACTCCTCCGGGCTGTAGAGCGCGGGAGAGGCTTCCACAAACTCGTTGTCTGGAGAAAGAAGAAAAGCAGAAAACAAAAATAGAATCTCAACCATTCAGGGCGAATCGATTAAACATCAGTTACCGCGCAGGTCCCGTAGAAAAGCGCGCGTTTCTCTCTCCCAGGGACGGGAATCCGTGAACCCGGGGCCTCACGGGGTTCCAGATGCCAGATCCACTGGGGTAAGAAATTGTCAAAGAAACTTGGCGGGGAGCAGTTCGGCCCAGGAACCAAGCGTCTTCCGGGCGCAGGCAGGTGCGAGCCAACTTTCCGTAGGTGCGAGCCCATGGATTCCCCGGCCCGGAGCGCCAGACAGCGACCTCCCCCTCTGTCCTCAGCCCGCGGGGCGCATCGCGGCGTCCCCCGGGTCTAGTGTCGACGCCCCGGCCCCCAGGATCCCCAAAGTTTCCTTGCGGGTCCCGGAGGCCCGAGAGCGCGCAACAGCGGCGGCGGCAAGCTCTCTGCGCCCACCCGATGGAGCGCCCGTGCGCATCCCCGCTACCCGTTGCTAGGCGACCGCGGCCTTCACTCTCGGCAGTGGCGCGCGCGCTGCCTCCAGACTCCCGGTGGGGAGGGCATCTTCCCCACCCCCACCCTCTCTGACCATTTATGACGAACGAGCGCGTCACCAGTTGTAAAACGATTTCTGCATTTTTGTATTATGTCTGTCCTGTTCCAATGCTTGGGAAATCGTGTTTTGTTTTGTTTTTTCTGTGCTTCTCCTGGAGAGAGGCAGGAGTTTCAGAGCTTGAATATTCCCTGCAGCAAGCAATGGTTTCCAACGCCCCCAATCCTCTCCTTTGAACATGAATTCTGACTCCACTCCAAGCAATATTTCTTCCTTTTAAGAGACTAGCAGGGAAGGTAATATGTCTTCAGTGCACAGGTAGGGAAACTGAGGCTCAGAAGTTAAGTAATTTATGGATGACTGCGAATCGTTGTGATAATGTGTGTGTGTGCGCGCACGTGTCAGGAGAGGGCAGAGCCATATTCCTTCTAATATAAAAATAGCTGAGCAGTTTCACGTACGGAATGTAGAAACAAAAGTTTGGGTCTGAAAGTTTGAGTTGTAGGTCCTAAAGAAATTCATGTCAGATTGCAGGAATCTCCCTCCCTAGGTCAGTGGCCCGAATAACTTGTACAGATGCATTATGTGTGTTCTACCAGGACTGACTGACACCTCACTCAGGAGGGCCCTGGGCTATGGGAATGTGTTCTAAAGATGCTGCGAGGAGGCAGAGGAAGGAAGGCGCAGACACAGAAAACGGCTGCCTCTTCTCCATCCCCGTCCTTGGACACTGATAGTTGGAGAGTTAACAGTCTGGGCAATGTCCCAGGGACATTCTGTAGCCTCAGACTGATCAGATCGCCAGCTGCAGCAGCCCAAGGGCCTATGGACCTGTGCTAAGGTGCCCTCATTCTGTAAACCTCAGCCATCTCTGGGTGTTCTGCTGACAGTCTACAACTGATAGAAGCCACCCTCCGAGTGCCCACAGAGGCATGGCTGGGGGCCAGGGTGAGACTGTCCTCCTTCCCCACCAGGGTAGCCGTTCTGCTTCGTCTTCTTTTTTTGTTGGCTGCCCTGAGAGTGGCTTGAGGGATATCTCCATTCCTCGACCACGGCCTGAACCAGGATCACAGCAGTGAAAGCCCAGAATCCTAACCACTAGGCCAGGGAACTCCCCAAAGCAACCGTTCTTGAGCTGCCTGACTTATCTCTCTGTCTTCTTCTGCTTTCCCCACTCCTGACAGTCTGAGCTCTGAAATCGAAGAAGTGAATGTGCTTGGGTGAATGTTTGCATAGATCAAGACATCCCCTCCCATCTCCTGAAAACCTCCATTTGCCCTCAGGAATTCATGGGCTTCCCTGATAGCTCTGTTGATAAAGAATCTGCCTGCGATGCAGGAAATCCCTTGTTCGATTCCTGGGTCAGGAAGATCCACTGGAGAAGGGATAGGTTACCCACTCCAGTACTCTGACCTAGAGAATTCCATGGACTGGATCCCAAAGAGTTGGACATGACTGAGCGCCTTTCACTTTCCCTTTCATTCATGGTTCATCAAAGTTTCTTTCAACTCCTCACTCTGAAGGAAACCCAGCTCTCCTTGAAAATAACAGAGCACGCTGTCCACGCCTCTTACTGTAGCCGTCTACAGGCCTCTGTGTTATTCTACCTCATTTCTTGAAGGTGTTGGCATCTGGATCACTGTCACTTTCCCCAATACCATTCCCATGATAATTTTTATTCCCAAATCTACCAGTGGATTCTTCTCATACTCTGGTCTCTCAACTCTTCAATGTCCTCTCCCTTCCTGCCCCTCTCGCTATCCCAGCTTCCTGCCCTCCTAGTGACACCATCTGCAATCTCAGCACCAAGCATTCCACTCTCCTGTCACCACCACCCAGCCTTCCAAGCCTTCCAGCTTATTCTTCCTGTTAACCTCACCCAGTGTCTCCTTGACCCCAACAGCTCCTGTAATTTACTGATCCTGTGAACTTTTCTGTGTCCCTTACTCTCCCTCTTGACATTCCTTCCTCCTTTAACCACCCTAGTTTCTAGGTTTACTATTATCATTTCTCTTATATACGCCTTCAAATCCACCTCTCTTTCTGTCTACTAAGTCTTTGGGAAAACCGTACCCCTGATAAAATCTATCTTGTCTCTGCCAGCACCCAGTGAAACATGATTAGAAAAGCATACCATCGTGCTGACTGGTCTTATTTTCAATATGTGACCACTAACCTCAAGTGGGAAGGAAATGGTAAGCCACTCCAGTATTGTTGCCTGGGAAATCCCATGGACAGTGGAGTCTGGTGGGCTACAGTCCCTGGGTGGCAGAGCGTCGGACACGACTGAGCACAACCTCGAGTGGACATCAGTGCAGCCCAGCAATCACTCTCCGTTCGCCTGGTTTGCTTACTGTCCTGCTGTCTTGTCACTATGGATGAACCATCCATTCTCCAGCTAAGGCCAGCTTCTCCGTTGTGTGTCAGATCCTCCATGCCCTCTGACATGGGTTTCCCCCCCCCCCCCCCCCCCCCTTTCTTCTCTAAGTTGGTGTTTTCCTCTGTTCTGGATCATTCCCATCCATATACAAATATGCCACTATGTTTCTATCTTTAAAAAATCTTTTCCAACTCTACCTCTCTTCCAATTAGTGACCTCAAGTCTTGGTGGCAGTTTACAACAAAATTCATCAAAGAATTGTTTACACTCATTATTTCTACTATCTTCCTTTAATCTTAAAGGCAAACAGACTTCTAGCTCATCACTCTTCCAGAGAAGCTCTTGTCAAGGTCAATTCTGACCTTGGCATTGCCAAATTCCAATGGTCAGTTCTTGATCTGAATAGAAGCCTTTGACTCCCTGATGTCATGAGGAGGTGAGCTCAGATGGCCTGTTTGCAGGACTGGTCGCCTCCGATTCCCCCATCAGATCAGGAGGCAACTAGCCTTTGCATTCCAAGAGAGATAATCTACAGAGGTCTTTGGTATGAGAGCCAAGGTCTAGTTAGGGGTCAACCAGACCTTGGCTCTAATACCAGATCCACTATTAACCAGTAGTTTAATTTCTGCTAACCTTAGTTTTCTATAAAAATGGAGATAATTATTATACCTAACTCATAAGGTTGTAGCAAGAATGCAATAAACTACAGCATTTACAGCCTGTAGAATAGAGACTGTCACATTGTGAAAATCAAGTTCATGTTAGTTATTATTAGTATGCTCTTTCACAGCTTCAGAAAATGGAGCTCTTTTCTCTTCTTTAATGACTTTGAGTTACTGAAAGGAATCACTAACCACAGATTATGCTTCCAATTAAAGGCAATGTACATGGTCCCATCTCTTAGTTTGCTTTCTAAGAGTTTCCTTGAAAGTTGGTTATGTGGAATTAGGCTCAGGCATTCCCCATAGGAAGAGCATTACAAATATTCTACCAGGTGATTAGGTTCTGGAGCCTGCCAGATTGGACTCACAATGGACTCCCTTTCAATTTGTTTGCTATAAATGGATGACTCATAAACTAAGAAATTTTCTTACAGCCCTTCAGTTATTTAAATTTCCTAATCAGCTGAAAGTTAATGAAAAAATATTTTTCTTGTTTTAATATTTGTTGTTGACAATTTTTCTGAAATATATGATTCCAATTTTCTATCTTAGGAAGCAAAGCAGAGCAAACAATAACATTTCCTGTTAGTCAAACAGTATTTATGGGGGAAGAACCATGCTTATCTTGCGGTTCTAATGGTAAAGAATCTGCCTGCAATGTGGATTCCATCCCTGGGTCAGGAAGATCCCCTGGAGAAGGGAATGGCAGCCCACTCCAGTGTTCTTGCCCAGAGAATTCCATGGACAGAGGAGCCTAGGAGTCTACCATCCATGGGGTTGCAAAGAGTCAGAAACAACTGAGCAACTAAGCAGTCACACCATGCTTCCAGGATGGGAGGCAATGCATCTGCGAGGCAATTCAGTACAACAGTGGTCAGAACAGTTTCCTGTCCTCATGTTGCTCACCTTTCAGTAGGTTCAGAAGACCTTCCTAACCTTTGGCAACATCTCAAATACCTACCCGTAATTGATTGTTATAGGCCTCTTATAAAGTAATGGTTCTGCAAATAAGTTAATCAGTACCATTTTTCTAGATTCATATATATGCATTAATATACAACATTTGTTTTTCTCTTTCTGACTTACCTTACTCCACATGACAGGTACCATTTGCAGGACAGGAACAGAGATGCAGATGTAGAGAACAAACACGTGGGCATAGCGGGGGCAGGGAAGGGTGGGGCAGACTGGGAGCGTAGCATTGAAGTATGCCCCCCAGGTGTAAGTAGACAGCTAGTGGGAAGCCGCTGTGTAACACAGGGAGCTCAGTTCGGGGCTCTGTGATGACCTAGAGGGTGGGATGGAGGGAGGAAGCTCAAGAGGGAGGGAGGTGTGTGTACATGTGGCTGAGTCACTTTGTGGTACAGCAGAAGCTAACACAACATTGTAAAGCAAGTACATGAAGTGAAGGTGAAAGTCGCTCAGTCGTGTCCGACTCTTTGTGACACCAAGGACTATACAGTCCATGGAAGTGTCCAGGCCAGAAAACTGGAGTGGGTAGCTGTTCCCTTCTCCAGGGAATCTTCCCAGTACAGGGCTCAAACCCAGATCTCCCACATTGTAGGTGGATTCTTTACCAGCTGAGCCACAAGGGAAACCCAAAGCAATTACATTCTAATGTAAAAAGAAATTGTTCTGCTGGGAAGTTATAAAAGAGAGTACACAATATTATAGGTTGGAGTCTCAGTGCTATCAAATTATTAGGGGAGAAATCACAGGGTTGTTACTAGATCTCCCAGAGCTTCAGTTTCCTGGCAATAATACTTAATACAGTATTGCCGGGAGAAGCTGAGCTGGTTAAGTGTGAAACAGACCAAGCACAGTGCTGGGCACCATGGTCTCTGAGGAAGGAACGTTTCTTTCTCTCCCTCACAGGAGGCTTGGGCATGCTGGAGTCCCTTTTTTTGACTCTCCTAGTGGGGCTTCCCTTGTAGTTCAGTCGGTAAAGAATCGGCCTGCAATGCAGGAGACCCGGGTTCCATTCCTGGGTTGGGCTGATCCCCCGGAGAAGAAAGTGGCAACCCTCTCCAGTATTCTCGCCTGGGAAACCCCATGGACAGAGGAGCCTGGCGGGCTACAGTCCATGGGGTCTCAAGAGTCAGACACGACTTAGCCACTCAACCACCACGGAAGGAGAGTGGGCTTCCTGCTGCTATGGCCTCTAAAGAGAGGGAAGTAATCTCTGATTTTATTTCTCGGGCAGCATTATTAGAAAGTGGGGCATGTGGAGAGAAAGCAGCAAGAAGGGAATATTTCTGAGGCTCAGGGTGAGTTAT